CCTGTGGCTGCGGAGCCCCTGCAAGTCCCTAGGGCACCTAAATTCTCGCGTGAAGCTGGACTTTGAAGTCTTTGAGTATTCTCCACCTGACCTTGTTCACCCCAGTTCTCTCTCTTCTCCTCAGATGTCTCTCCAGTTTCCTCCAGCTCTGGGACACTCATCCAGTACACCCCTGACTCTGCCACTAGCCCCACCGCAGAGCGCCCATCTCCCCATCCCTCTTTTCAGAAGGTCAAGGAGGAAGGTGAGGGTGTGGTGAAGAAGGCCAAGAGCCGCACAGCCTTCTCCCAGGAACAGCTGCAAATCCTGCATCAGCGGTTCCAGAGCCAGAAGTACCTCAGCCCCCAGCAGATCCGGGAGTTGGCTGCTGCCCTGGGGCTCACCTACAAGCAGGTGAGCACCTTCCTCTGAGCAGCTGAGTCACATCCCTGGTGTGAAGTGATCTTGCAAGCAGGTTTTTTTAGTGGTTTTTCTTTTGTCTTAGACCCCAGAGATTAGTTTATTTCATGGTCTTGTTTATGCCATTGCTTACGTGAGAGAGCAGAGGGTGTGAAAACTTATGACTCAGTCTTCCTCTTCTGTTTGGTTCCAGCACTATCCACCCACTCTGCAGGTGTTTGAAAGTGCGTACAGAGCAGGGCTATGCAGAGTCAGGCTAGTGTTCTGTGTGGACATTTGTTGTCTCCGAATGTGAGAAGCTGGATACTTGCACTGCTGTGCAAGTTGCCTTTCTTGATCAGAGTAGCACCTGGGTCTGTCCCTAGAGAGAGGGGACTGAAGGAATGACTCACTCCCGAGTCAGCACTGATCTTTGCACAGTAGTGAGATGCTGCGTTACTGCAGTTGTCTTGACCTGTCTTTCAGGCAGGGTTTTTGATGTCATGAAAGGTCTCATGGTGGTCTGAGGAGTAAGAGTTTTAGTTTTCAAGTCATAGCTCTGTGATTCTATAGCTGTTTGGGTCTGCTGCATGTTGTTAGCTGCTGGAATTATGTACAGTATTAGAAGCCAAGCAGAAACTGGATTGTAGAAGGCAAAACGTATTTAGGATGTGTAGTAAGCTCTCTGCATGAATTTCTAATGCCCTGTGTTCTTTTACCATCACTTCTAGGTGAAAACATGGTTTCAGAATCAACGGATGAAATTTAAACGTTGCCAGAAGGAGAGTCAGTGGGTGGAGAAAGGGATGTATCTACCTCAGGTGGGAGAATTTCCCCTTCCCCCATCATCACTAGCCACGGTTCCTCCAGTCTGTGGGGAGAAGTGCATCATGTCCTGTTAAACCTGTTAATACATGTGACTCAGAATTACAGATCCAGTTGTATTTTTCCTAATATCTGTTTTAAGCCTACACTGGCACTGAAAGAGCTTTGTTTACAGTCCACTTACCTGCCAGTTGAGACTAGATAGAAAAAAAAATTGCTGAAGAGGGCCAGCAAGGCTACTCATGCTGTTTTTATCCTAAACATGGTGGTCCCAGATGTGTTGAGTTGCAGATTACTAACTTAAGATCTTGTCATCTCTGCTTTTATTGGTCTATAGTGAGGACAATGAGTATGAAAAAGACACTATTGTCTGGCTTGTGGGAGGGGGTGGGGGAGAAACAAGGCCCCATCCAAAAGAATGGGCACAGTTGGTGTGGTGTTCTGCATTACTGAACAGCCTTCTGTCTCCCCTAGAATGGGTTTCATCAGGCTTCGTACCTGGAGATAACCCCGACGTTTCACCAGGGCTTCCCTGTTGGTGCCAGCAGGAACCTTCCATCTGTGACCAGTGTGCACCAGGCTTACAGCAGTGGACAGACTTATGGGAATGGGCAGAGCCTGTACTCGTTCATGGCTGTGGAGGATGAGGGGCTCTTTGGAAAAGGTGGAACAAGCTGCAATACCCAGCAAGCCATGGGTTTGTTAAACCAGCAGGTGAACTTCTATCACAGCTACCCTGCTGATATGGATTATGTCAGCGTGGAGTCAGAAGATACCTACGGCTTCCAGAGCACCTCTGACAGTGTCATGCTGTTCTCAAGCTCTCCTGTAAGGCATCAGTACCAGGCCCCTTGGCATCCCCTGGGGACCCAGAGTGGTTATGAGTCTTAGACCTAAGTATTTTTTTCCTCACTTCTCCTGCTTTCTCTGATGGGGTTTTTAGGATCTTGACTCAAGGATCCAGTTTCTATTCCTTTCTCTTGCCCCTCCTCCTCTCCTGTTTAAACCATTTGTGGGGCACAGCACCCTGTTGCCTTGGGCTAGCTTTCTGTTTAAAGACACCTGTCTGTTCATAGCTAACCTTAGCAAGGGTATTTTGTGTGTGGATAGATGAAACTTCATTTGTGGAGGAGAAAGTACAATGTCACAGCCAGGAGCAGCAGGCCTATGTTTGCTGTCCAAGTCTCGCCTTCCTCTGCTGTCTCTTTTAGTAGGTGATCTCTGACCCTTGCCCTTGGTGTCTTGCAGCAGACATTTGCTGGAGAGGAAGTCCTTGTACTTCAGCATATTTCTGCTAGAAATAACCTGTTGTAGCCCAGAATCTTTCCTGCTGTCTTGCCTGTTTCTGTTGCTACTTCAGTCAGCTAACTGCTAATAGGATCTTGTCCTGGGTTCCTCTGCATCCTCTTCCTCACTGAAAAGCTACATGAGATAATCTGATTTAAGATTATTTGATCCAGTTACTCTCAGCAACTCCTCCTGGGGGATCAGCATCTGCCCACCCCTTGCCTGTTGCCCTCCTGTGTACATAGGGCAGTTGAGAGGAGGGGAGGAGCAGAGGAGAGAAAGTGGGGTAGAGTATTGCCCATATCTCACGTGGAAACTTTGGTTTCCAAAGCTGCTAATATACTTGTGCCTGTCAAGTCATTCAGGATGGCATTTCTGGAGCTGTCCCCACCCAGTTTAGATATTGCCTTTCTACATCTCTCTGCTGAGAGAGACTGTTGGTTTGTCCCAACCTGCAAATTGCAGCAGAGGGTAGCCCAAAATTAAGTGTGAGGAATGGCTGTGTGTAGTCATCTTTGGAGGGGTGAGAACAGTCTGCTCATCTGTACATGACGGTCCCCTAGCACTTCAAACACAGCACCACTACAGTGCAGCTTTCTCTGGCGTAGAGGCAGGCAGCTAGATAAAGTACTCAGTTATTCTAAAAGGCAATGTTCAATGTTACTTACCCTGGAACCTCGATGTTGGGGGTGATGAATCCTGTTGGGTCTCAGTGGAATTGTCATCCAGGGGGGTAGAGCAGGATGGTTTCCCACTCTCTTGTCTAATCCCCGTTTTAAGAGTGTAAACTAGTAGGATTTTTGTCCCTTCCCCAGAGCTTAGTTGGATCTCTTCTGTATTATTCTGCTGAAAAGGGCGCTGGCTGCCTTGTCTGACATAAGTACCCAAGCTCTGGGGGAGGCAAGAAGCTTAGAGAACGCTAGTTAGACAAAATGAGGAAAATGACAATTAAAATGTTCAGTTTCTTTTTTTTTTTTTGTAATTTTTAAATTTTTTAAATAACCATCCTTTCTGGAATGGAGAAACTGGAAGTCAGCACTGACTTTTTTTTTTGAGATGTGGAATTGCAGAGTCCAGTCTGCCACTGCCCAAGAATACAAAAGGGCATGAGCTGGAAGGAGTAAATGAGACAGTAAAAGCAGAAGTATTTCAGTGGTGGAGTGTTTTTTTTTGTGGTTACTGCACAATTTTTACTGCAACCCTGTCTTCAAATGTCTGCACAAGGGTTGTAATGTCATAGTTAAACTTTCACTGCAAAGGAGGCAAACATTTGTTATTCCAGATAAAATTTTCTTAAAGTATGCTTTCTTGCAGTGATCTCAAGCATGTTTTATGTTATGTGCATGTTGTCTTTTATTACTTTGTTTCTGCTGAATGTTTTTACAAAATTGTTTGAATTTGAAAATAAATAAATTACTTTATTTTAGTGTTGAAACAGTGTCACCAGCTTGCATTGGAACAGCCTGCTATGAGAATGGTTATTCTGCACAGGTAGCAGCACAGAGGAAAGAAGGAAAAAAGTAACACTACTGTGTTTCTCTCAGAAGTAGGATCAAGCAACTGTTTAAAGGAGTAGGTCACAGAAGTCCATAAGCTTTGTTTTTAATGTGCAGGTGTGTTGCCTAGTGCAAGGGGAAGGGTGGGGGGATTCCAGGGGCAGGCAACTGGACTGCTAGCTGCTGTCTTGCAGTCGTGCAGCCCTGTGACATGCTTATATTGGTCCTTAATCTGCAATGCTTAAGAATAATTTATTTGAGGATAGGAGCAAAACAGCCTTTTGAGGTTGTGTGGCCACCTGCTGTTGGTCCAGAAGATCACAGTTAGAGGCCTGGAAGTCCTGCCTCATTGACGCTGCAGCTCTCTTGGGGTACTTGCGCTAACCTCAAATGGCAGCACAAGTTTGTAAGTAACTGAATCCTGCCTCTAGCACTCAAAATCTAATTTATTTCCCTGCTTTTTCCCAAGGCTGCATTTATCTCCTCTTAGCATCTGGGAGCAACATTTAAAAGGTACTGAGACATGTGAGATGGGCACATTGGCACTGAAGCAGTGCATCAGCAGCCACCAATTTAGAGACTCAACGAACCTCTTTCTGCTCAGGGAGCTTTGGTTCATCAGAGCCTTGCTTTCCTTGTATACCTCTTAGTTTGATCACCTGTGCAACTTGCATGCAGCCCAGGGCTGCAAGTGGCCATGGACAGCAGTGCTAATGGAACAAAGCAGCTGTCTGCATTCAAGGGCTGATTCTACTGCTGTGTCAGTAGAGCTGAGCTCCTGTTAATAGCCATAGGTTAAACTGTGAGAAATCATAGAATGGTTTGGGTTGCAAGGGATCTTAAGAGATCATCTAGATCCACCCCTGCCATGGGCAGGGACACCTCCCACTAGCCCAGGTTGCTCAAAGCGTCATCCAGCCTGGCCTTGAACCCCTCCAGGGATGGGGCATCCACAGCTTCCCTGGGCAACCTGGGCCACTGCCTCACCACCCTCACAGTAAATAATTTCTTCCTAATATCTAGTCTAAATCTGCCCTCTTCCAGTTTAAACCCATTACCCCTCATCCTGTTGCTACATGCTCTTGTAAAAAGCACCTTCCCAGCTTTCCTGTAGGCCCCCTTCAGGTACTGGAAGGCTGCCGTAAGGTCCCCTTATCTTCTCCAGGCTGAACAATCCCAGCTTTCTCAGTTTGTCCTCAAAGGGGAGGTGTTCCAGACCTCTGATCATCTTTGTGGCTCACAGAATGATCTGTTTGGGTTTAATCCCACATTTCTTAAACTACAGTACACCACCAAAGCTTTTCATCTATCTGAAAGGGGTAGTTCAATAGGTGTTCCCACTGAGCACAATTAGCTAAAACTGGCAGCTGACTGTGCAGGCTTGAGCTGCCACAGGTCCTTTGGTGACCAGAACATGCTTCTGTGGGTGTCAAAGCATGTCCACTTTCCTTTCGCAATACTGTGATTCTGTGCTTCCTAGGGTGAGGTGGAATATGTGCTGGAAGGAGAAGGAGTGGAGATTTGAGCCTGTAGAGGAGGAAGAAAGGCTGAGTTTGTCTAGGTGTGTGTTGCCAACTTTCAACAGTAGAAAAATGTAAATCTGGCCTAGAAGAGGGGGAAATGACAGGGTCACATGGTTTCCTGTATTACAAAACAGAGATCCTTTCTCATTCTGACTTGTGTCATGTCCCAACACCTGTTAGGATTCATTCTGGGTAATGCTCTAGTAATAGTGGTAATTTCAACAATTCCCTTGAAAAACCAAAGCTGAACTATGTACCTGTAAAAGTCATAGATAATAAAACCTTACCTTCCAGCTTTAGAATTAGCAACTTCCAGGTTTGTGGTGGTGTGGGTTTTGTTTGTTTTTTTGTTGTTTTTTTTTTTAAATGCAAATTTAAGCTCTAAAGAAATATATAAGGTGTGCAGGTCTTTGCAGGATGATTGCAGAGGATGCTTGCTGCACGTTACCTGTGTTGCCTGGGTGTGTTTCTCTTCCATGTTTCTGCCACAGGTGTAAGGAAGTAGCCAGAGCTTTGCTGGCAGATGTCCTCCTGCAGAAATAGGTATTGTTGCTAGAAGTGCTCTGAGACTGAGACAACTTGCTCTGCATACTGTGGTTTGTGTTACTGCATTTACCGTTGGACTGTTCTGCAGAAATTGAGTGTTCCTTCACAGGTGTGTTATTCCCCTGTTTTTTCAGCCTGGGTTGCATGCAGGTTTGGCAAGCACATGTGGTTGCAGAGCTGGAGGGAACATGCAGAGTGGCTGTTGTTGGAATTTTGTTGCTTGGGCTGGAAAGGACTGCTAGTAGATCAGGATTTTTTCTAGAACCTGTGGAACGAAGTAGGGTTGTGCCTTTCCACAGTGATGGAGATCTTCTCTGTTACCTTGGCATGCCTGAGTCACCTCACCATCTGAAACAGCTGCACAGGTAAACCCTACTACCAAAACAGTGGAGCTGCAATTAATCCCTCCAGACTCATACTTCCAAAAGGGTTTATACCAGTTCCTTAGAGGCAGTAAGTGCATATTGGCAAAAGCCCTTTCTGCTGGGTTACCTTACATCTCTGTTAGGACTGCACACTGCAAACATGATTTTTCTCGCCAGCAAATCTTTTTAGGATCAAGCTGTAAGCTCATATGGAGGTCTTTATATGTATTATAGCTTATGGGATATACACTGCACTTTCACAGTATCTCTGCAGTGTCAACACTCTGGTTTGTCAACACTGCAGATGTAGCTCCAGTGGTGCAGAGAATCCCACCCAAAGGGAAGAAATCAAGTCTAGAACAGATCATATAGACCAGGGTTTATTCTCTAGTTTACTGGGTTCCAGCCTTTGCTGTCCCATAGGCAAAATACCAAGCTAGTAGAGTGGTGCAAGCATCCTCATTCCTTGTTCTGTGTCAACATGGCCTGCAGCGATGTTTTACAAGCTATTGGCAAGAGCTCACAGCCCCAGTTGTCTCTCCAGTGCAGATAAAAGGCATGAACTTTGCTTTAACGAGCTCTTCCCTGCAGGCATGTGTCAACATTATATTTAATTATCTAAGAGCATTGCATGACTCAAATGCTGAGCTAACAGGGTTTTGGAAATTTTCAGT